CACATTCATTCTTCTAATAACAAAGATGGTGCATTATTGCTTTGTGTCGTAAGCGGAAAAATGAGTGAAGGAATAAATTTTTCAGATAGATTAGGAAGGTAATGGGTTGAATATATTTTTATATTTATTTATTTATTTATTTTCATTAATAATGATGTAATATTTAAAAACAGAGGAATAATAATGGTCGGATTACCATTTGCAAATTTAAATAATGAAATTTATGAATCAAATTGGAGAAATTTCTTCAAACGATAACCATTCTTCACAACGTGGAAACGAATATTACCAGAATCTTTGTATGAAGGCGGTAAATCAATCAATAGGTAAATTTTTAACAGATATAAAACACATTAAATTTTCATATAAAATGACATTTATACGTTTTTTATTTGTAGGGCGAGCAATTCGCCATAGAAATGATTATGCCGCTATTTGACAAACGGTTTAATACTAATAATCGAATTAGACAAAAATTACCGACATGGATAAACCAAAGTTTAATTGAATGTCACAAATTTGGTCATGCTATTGGAAAAATTGCTGGATTTTTTAAAAATAAAGTTCAGCGATTTAGTAGTAATGATGTGTAACGAATTGATACATGTATTATCGAAGATTAAATTCTGTTCCAGGTTCTCGCAATATTAAACGGACAAATTTAAATTGATTTTAATGAAGTACGATTAAAAAATACATATATTTTTTCTATTTTCATTGGCCAAATTATGAATAGATTATAACAATAAAAAAAAAATTTTTTCAATTTTTTGTTAAAAAAATGGATGCGTTTGAAGAATTTAAAATGGCAGTGTGAAAAAAGGCATGAATGGTATGCAACCTTGGATAAAGTAAAAAATTTAGATACATGATGCCCATTTTGTCCGTGAAAGAGACAAAAACTCTGCAAGGAAATAGCAACGAAATTATTAGGCCCACCATCTGATATTCATAGATCAGATTTCTTAAAAATGCCTGATCATCCGTTAGGACTTGAACTTGATATGATTTTGCTATTTGAAGTTCAATCCATAAAAACCCAAAGGATTTCAAGAACTTTGTGATAAAAATCGGATATTACTTATCGAAATATGGTATCATGAAGACCCTTATATAGTGATCCCTCGAAGACCTAAGTTGGGTCTTATCTCTTAACTGGTACTATTCAATCATATTTTTCTTGGACACATTGCGATTTTCTAATTTTGAATCTATTGGGATAGCATAGTGTTG